CATGTAGAAACTTAACACACATAAATGATGACATGGAAATTTTGCTTGAAAACTTAACTTCATTCTCCTTAAATCTCAACTGGACCATTTACCTTTCACTTGGTGGTAGTTCATTTATTACAGCATACAACGGGCATGCAAACTCTATATCTAGAAGATTTGAATACTGCGACCCCATCAGTATTTATTTGCAAAGATATATGCAATTGAAAGTCTCTCTTTTCATCTTTTGTGCCATAGAAGTATCCAAAGTTGTCAAAGTGTTGTTTGTAAACAGCTCCATCATATAACTCTCCTATGTTGGTCATACCTGATGCCTGTTGGTCATACCTGGTGCCTGTTGGTCATACCTGGTGCCGGTTGGTCATACCTGGTGCCGGTTGGTCATACCTGTTGGTCATACCTGGTGCCGGTTGGTCATACCTGTTGGTCATACCTGGTGCCTGTTGGTCATACCTGTTGGTCATACCTGGTGCCTGTTGGTCATACCTGTTGGTCATACCTGGTGCCTGTTGGTCATACCTGTTGGTCATACCTGTTGGTCATACCTGTTGGTCATACCTGGTGCCTGTTGACTTGGTTGTATTTTGCTTTTTCTGATAATGTCAAGCACTCCTGGTTCTACAAAATTGAAGTAAAAGATAAAAATTATCTTCCTGTCCATTCACATTTCGCAAAAAAAATTAGATGATATTCTAGCAATTTTACTGTGTTTTCCACTGCATCTGTGTACAGTTCAATGACTTATCAACATTTACTTGTCATGTGATGAGTAATATACAGCTAATGACATAAACTTGTCAGCACTATTATGGATTCTGACCAGGACATTGTCAAATATCTAAGTTTAACAAAGAAAATGCCCATGATTGGTTACCATAGCAACCATATTGTTTGAGAAAAGTTGCGTTTAAAAAAAAGGATAGGTTGGGTGGCCGTAAAAGATATGTTTCTATAGACCGATGAACAGAAATCATTATTTCAGGTATACCGGTACGCCATTGTGGGGTGGGGGTGGTATAAATACTAAGACTGTTTTAGACATCTCCAACTGTTACTAAACCAGAAATATTTCAAAAAATAAGAAGAAGAAGAACATACTTTTTAAAATTGTTTCCAGCTGATTCTTGAGGGGTATGGTGATACAATGCTTCACAGATGTGGCAGAGCAGTTTGGACATGAAATCGTTTTCCACTGTTTCCTCCAATTCGTTTTCATCAACATCTACATTGATATGATTTGATTTTAAAAGATCATTTCCAATATCCAACTGCTGTTTTCTCCACTTCGAAGTTCTTGACTCACCGCCGTAAGGACCTCGCTTATTGGAATCCATTATTGTCTTCACTTGTATCATTCTTTAAAAGTATATCATTAGGGGGTAAACACTGTCTTACCACTCATGATCAATGAATAAATAATTTAAGTGAAAAAAAAGTTCAGAAGTGAAATACAATAAAGATTTCTCTCTCCTTTGACAAAACGTACATGTCTGTCACCACCCAAACATGTCTGTCACCACCCAAACATGTCTGTCACCACCCCACCCAAACATGTCTGTCACCACCCAAACATGTCTTCTGGGTCGCCGTCTCTCTAGATCTCCTGCCACTGTAAACACCGAAAATCGGAACATTAACGACAATAGTCATTTCTTTGTTTATTGGAGCGTATGCCTATAATAGATGAGTGTCAGTTTACATGTTTAATCAAGGCAGGACACAAGTCAAATCACATAATAGTAAACATAAATCAAACATTTAACACTAATATAATGCACAGTATTCTATAATGGAATCATATTTTTTATTGGAACTATAACAAACCAACCTTACATAAACTATCGGTGATTACATAAACTATCGGTGATTACAACCTCAAACAAATTGGTAAAATTTTAACAGTGATTCAATATAAATATATCTTCCCAATTTCCAGTAGCATTACTGTAGTCTTAGATATTTTTTTATTTCACTCATTGACTCGATAAGAATTCAGCACCATTTTAGCTATGAAACTTTAGCGGAACTTTAAAATACTTCAGCAATGATAATCATTGTTTGCTTTGATTAGAATTCTACAGCCATGTAACATGTTTGACAAGAAATAGGGTCCATGTGCCATCACTACAAAACATCAAAATTCACTTTCTCTCAAGACCTGACATCGTATCGCCTGCGTTCGCTAAACAACTAACTTAATTCAGACAATTGACCATTTTTTTTTTATAAAACATCGGTAAATTGACAGCAAATATCTTTATAAATCAAGAGTCACAAATGCTATCAACATTCAAGTGAACAGGAAGGAGAACTTACCTTATAATAGAGGAGAGAACAGTGTCAGTGTACCGAGTTTACACCAAATCAAGGTTGCATTCACGTAAACCGGGTGAAATGGTCCGGGCGGCCCGCATCTGAACTGCGAAAAACGAACGCACAAGTCCATGCGTACAGAAATGTGACAAGAAGAGCTCAAAAAGCACAATTTCTAAGCTTCTATCATATCTAAAACGACATTAAACGTATTCATTTTTCATCCTTACTGAATACATATAAATGTAATTCACCCGTTTTGTCCGTTTACGGGAAAGTGACCCAAGTCAAATCATGTGACCGCCACAGCTATCTCGTTTTACAGAATTTATCAATGAAAATGAAATGAAAAATATGAAAAAATGTTTTCTTTTGCGTTACATAATACATGTCAATACGGGCTTTCGATGTTTGTTATGAGAAAACTTCAAATTTTACGGTTTTTGATCGGCCTAATGCCGGATATATCTAGTACTCGGAACCGGAGACAGACGCGACCTTGTTGAAATACGTTATCTAACTTATTTGTTTTATTTGTCTGTTTTTTTTTCGAGATCCCGTTGGTGAAAATTGGAAACCTAATAAAATGTTGTGTTTCACATAATTTTAATTACAAAAAGTCGTAAACAGCAAATAACTACATTGTAGTGAATTTGGTCCATTTCCGTGTCCGATTTCATTTTGGAGCTTTAGTAATTACTTGTCACGTGACGTAAACTAGACGCGCGACATCGTCTGCTTCTAGGTCCCCAATTTTGTTCACGATGCGATTGTGGAGTGGCAGGAAGACGGATATCCACTTGGAATGATAAGCTTAAAAGTCTTTTTACTAACAGGACTTCATCCCCATCAAACAAAACTGGGGAAAAACTACTTGATGTGAAAATTGTCCAGGCAATCATCAGTAAGAACATGTACTAATATCAAATTGCTTTATTGATATAATTGAGGAAGTGCTAAAGATTGTGACTGCATGTCTCAATGGGATACGGGAACCAATTTACCAAGAATCTGACAGAAAAGACAGAGAACTCGCATGACAGATGAAGTTTCGACTTACAAAAACAAACTGTTTGGCTTAGAGGGTGAACACAGAACCAGCTCTCTCAAAGAGAGCAAAGTCAGATTTCGTAAAGATGGATACATCTTCATTCAGTTTTCCAGAGCTTAATTTGGAATATTTGAAGACTATAACGTGCGGCACCTATAGCTACCAGCTATCATTAGCTCCAGGCTATATCAGTGAACAGCTTAGTGGTGATGTAGATAATGACATATGGGTGTATCAGCACTCTCAAGAACTCATTTGTTGTCAGATTCGTTCTAGACACAGGAGCCAGACTAAATATAATGTTTGGAGTCAGTGGGTACAGCACGACACCAAATGATAGTAATTCAATAAAAGATTACTAACTGCCAATGCCAAGTTGGTAAAAGAACTATGGGAATATGTGCTCATACAATTATACTTCATTATCTTGGCTATCATAGTAATCTTCAAAATCCAGAACAGCTGCACCCCAGGGCTAAGAAGTTCCGACAAAGCTTGAAATAAGTTGATTTCTTGTATATCTAGAATTAAGAGTTTGAAAACAAACTCAAAACCTCGCATCATTTTTCTCTTCCTTTTTTTCCATATCCGTCAATCAAACACATTTCATACTCTTGCATCTTGCAAAATATTATCTGTAAATGTCATCAGCTGTTAAAAGGGCGTGTAACTTTAAAATATAAATAAAAAGAAAGTAACAAACAAATACACAATCTCTGAATTTCATTGATATCACAAGAAAGTTGTCTGTGAATCTGACGACTGATTGTGCAGTAGAATGAAAGTTTTGGTGGCCATCTTGAAAAGGTAAAAACAAGCGAATCTTTTTAAAACATCTTCTCTGTTGATTATCATACCATCCAAACTGGAACAAATATTTTCTTCTTTTCTGTCAGTTTGCAGTCATAATGATTTGACTATAGCCATGAGTTCTGATGTATAGACCATATGGTCATATGATCCCTTCTTTGAATATGTTCCACCATATATTTTGGATTGATATTTTTGTCCCTGGTAGTTCATGACCTAGTCCATGTATTTTCAAAATATTTTTAGTATACAAAGGTTATAAGATATTGCTTGAGATGGCTTCTGGCTGTTGAGTTGTCTGCAATTGTCTTATACCTAACCATAGCAATGGATTTTTACATGAATACTGTAGCATTTGATCCCTAGTTTTGATTGCATCATAAATGATCCTTCAATGCATTGTTAGTTTGACAACATTCGTCTTTTAGGGAGAATTTCAGTTTTATGCATCTACGAAAAACGAGCCAAGTACTCATTTGAATTTTAATGGGTGTTTTTGTTGTGATAAGGTTTAGGTTTGCACCTCACCAAAAGAAAATTGAAATCAAAGGAGGGGCAATTTTGAACCCCCTTCCCCTTGTATAACTTGTGTACTACTGTCTAATGATGTAGGGGCTTGACCCCTTCTCTCTCCGGAGGCTTGAGCTGTCAGGAAGTCACTCAATTGTATCTAAGGGGCATACATGTAAATTGCCCACAAATATCTTTATACAAAATTATCCAAGTAAGCTACAACCAAATCACTTTTCCTTGCAACTAGCAATGCCACTGTAGCTGCACTGCATTCCACTTTAAAATGAACAGAAGTAAGAAACAATATTACTTGAGCTTTTTGGCCAACTTTTCCATGCGAGGCTTCATTTCTGTTTCGTATGGAGATTTCTTTGGTATGGCATAGATGTGAGCACCGCACAGTCGATCCAACAGTAGGTTACCATTACTTCCTATCTCTGATGGATCCTACAGGTCAACAAACCAGGAAAACACAATATTTGATGATTATAGTCAATTATCATAGCTGTCAACCCTCTCTCAGTAGGAGGGAGACTCCCTCATAGCTGTCAACCCTCTCTCCATTTATAAATATTCAATTCCCTTTTCCCAAAGATTCTCTAGAACAAGTTTGGTTAAAATTCCTTCAACAGTACAAAAAGAGAAGGATCTTTAATGTTTTCCTCTATTTCCCCTAATGGGCCCCACCCATCTGCACCAAAGAAGGGGGCCCACACACCTTAGTTTATACAAAATTGATTCTTTTGTCCCTAATTATGCTGCAGACTGCATTTGGTTTAAATCCCTTCACTTGTAAAGTAGGAGAGAAAAAAATCCTCTAATTCCCCTATTGGGCCCCGCCCCTATGCTCCAAGAGGGGCCACACCCTCTGTTTATACAAACTTGAGGCTCTGTTGAAAAAGATGCTCTAGGACAAATTTGGTCAAAATCCTTCTATTGGTTGAGAAGAAGATTTTTAAAGATTAACCTATTTTACCCCTATTTGGCCCCGCGCCTCTGCCCCCAGGGGGATCATATCCTTCGTTTATAAAAAAACTGAGAACCCTTTGGCCAATGATGCTCCAGACCAAATTTAGTCAAAATCCCTTCATCGGTACAAAAGGAAAACGATCTTTGATGTTTTCCTCTATATCCCCTAATGGGCCCCACCCATCTGCCCCTAGAAGGGGGCCCACACATCTCAGTTTATGCAAAATTGATTCTTTTGTCCCTAATCATGCTTCAGACTGCATTTGGTTTAAATCCCTTCACTTGCATAGTAGGAGAAAAAAGTCCTCTATTTCCCCTATTGGGCCCCACCCCTACGCCACCGGAGGGGCCACACCCTCAGTCAACAGATGGGCCACACCCTTTATTTATGCAAACTTGAGTCTCCTTTGTCCAAAGATGCTCTAGGACAAATTTGGTCAAAATCCTTCAATTGGTTGAGAAGAAGAAGATTTTTAAAGATTTCCCTATTTTCCCCCGCCCCTCTGCCCCCAGGGGGACCATACCCTCCGTTTATACAAAACTGAGAACCCTTTCGCCATGGGATAAGCTCACTTGCCCCTCTGGGCCTATTTGGCCCCACCCCTCTGCCCCCAGGGGGACCATACCCTCCGTTTATACAAACTGAGAACCCTTTGGCCAATGATGCTCCAGACAAAATTTGGTCAAAATCCCTTCATCGGTACAAAAGGAGAAGGATCTGTGATGTTTTCCTCTTTTTCCCCTATTTGGCCTTGGGCCCCGCCCCTCCGCCCCCAGAGGGGCCACACCCTCCATTTATACAAACTTGAGTTTCCTTTGTCCAAAGATGCTTTAGGACAAATTTGGTCAAAATCCTTCTATTGGTTGAGAAGAAGATTTTTAAAGATTTACCTATTTTCCTCCTATTTGGCCCCGCCCCTCTACCCCCAGGGGGACCATAACCCTCCGTTTATATAAAACTGAGAACCCTTTGGCCAATGATGCTCCAGACCAAATTTGGTCAAAATCCTCTGAGCCGTTCAGGACTATTAGCGTTTTAAAGGAAAAAGTTGACGGACGCTGCGCCATGGGATAAGCTCACTTGGCCCTTTGGGCCAGGTGAGCTAAAAAATAAAAATATACAACATTTGATATAGCGCCCTATCTAGCTAACATAAGCCACTCTAAAGCGCTTTACAGTAAATAGATATACAATTAATACAATAAGTATATACATTAATCAATACAATTTTTGAGGAATTCGCAGGAGCTGCCTTATCAGGCACTAACTACTAGCCACCTTGCTAATATTTCCCTATGTGTGTATGCCTGCGTGTGTGCTGGAGATAGATTGTGTTCTGTTTGTAGTTGGACCGTACTTCCAACGGTATCATTTTACCATTAATATCGAGTGTTTTTTCACCTGCAGTGAGACAGATATCTTTAAATCTTTATACTTCCGAAGCATTTGACTCGAGGGATTCAACATACAAACTACTAGAACTACTTTGAGACAGTACCTTGTAGTTTATCTGGACTTTAAAACATTTATACACTTAATTAAGAAATGCAGAGATTTCCTTACAAGTGGAAATTTAATAGCTTAATAGTTAATTTTTAATGTAATTTCTTTCCAATGATATAAGGACAAAAAATTCACAAAAATATGAATAACATGGACTAGTTTTAAAAGCCTTAAAGGTTAACAGGAAAATTTGCGTTATACCAAATTACCCTAGTAATAATCTGAAAATCCTGTATACCGGGAAATGATTGCCTCAATTTAAATTTCGCCTTTTTCGTCCTCTCATATGAGGGCAACTTTATCATGACAGTGGATGTTAGTACACAACATGCAAAATATGGTAACTACATGTGAAATTAACACTGGGAGATCATGGTTTTTATCGGAAATGGACGAATATGTGACTCAGTGAAAGTTTCCTGGTATACAGTAAGCATTCTGCACTATAAAGTGCAACAATACGCAAATTGCTTATCTTCACATAGACCCAACCAATGTGTTTAACAAGGGACTATTCACCAATAAAATAGGGTACTTGTAGTTGTTTTATACCTGTGCATCCGTTCTTATTAGAAAGTGGGGTTGTATTTGTAACTGCCTCGCAGCTACAGCCGTTGCTCTGCAGTGATTAGATTGTACGCTGCCACCAGTGATCACATGACCACATTCTCTGACCACAGCATCTGCCATCAAAAATTCTAGTTTTCGTACCTGTAAAGAAATCAGTTTCTTTATTTAGTAGAATAAGTTATATTGTGGTGAAATTATCATACAAGAGTATAAGATGTATTTGTTAAAATGAAAAATACTCAAAATTACATTTCTATTTCAACTTTTCATTTTATAATTTTTATTTTCATATTTTTTTTCAAAATGTTTCATAGAACAAGCCCCATTTGTAAATGATGATTTAAAGACAATGCATGTTTTCATCAAATTAATTCAGATATTTGGAATCACTATTGTAATACATGTACATTGTATATGCATATTCCAATTATCCTGGACGTTTAATTCTTCTGAAATATGAGTTGTGATTAAATAATTGCCAATTGTTCTGGACATTTTTATCAAATATGAGTCATACTTTATTGCCAGATAGTGTGCTGCCTGTCATGTCATCCCTTTTTATAAAAACTTTAAACTTTGATGGAACACCTGGTAAGCTCCATCTATGTATTGGCGTCTCTGGATTGGCAAGCTGGGAAAATAAATTGAACAATGGTTTTACTTTAACAACAGCACAAGAATTACAATATCCATACAGTACTTACTGGTAATATGCATGACCAAGTCCAATTCCTACCCTGTATCAATCCCAGACATCCATATCACCTAGGTGTGGGGGAGCTGGTTGACAGCTATGATATTTGCCCAAGGGCTCAGAGTTGCGAGGGCTGATATCGGTTCAGGGTGGAAAATTTGCCTGATGGAGTGATGGTTTCACATTCCCTTTTTAGCCTTGAATTATATTATCATAATTATAGCGGAACTAGACTGATTTGATTGTCGGTAACCAGGTATAACCGTCTAAAAGTTCAGAAGGTACCAGGTTCTAATTCCAGTCAAGCCGTTGTAATTCTCTTTCTCCTGTTACAAAATCGGCGAGCTTGCCAACCTATTATTTAAGCACTGGGTGAGTGTTTGGCAATTACAGGGATACCTGAACCTGGGGTGCAAGTTGTGTTTTTGGGGCAAATACTAATTAGAAAACAGAGGGAGGAACGTATCGGAACTCATGGACTGGGTTGACTGTTTGCAACCAGCTGGTAGCTTAATTGGTAAATTGTATGTCTAGAGTGCTGAGTCCTCGGTTCGAATCCTAGTCTGGCAATTGCATTTCTTTTTCTACTTTTGGTTGTTATGTTGTGTAGACCTGGCCCGACTACATTATAATAAATATTACATTCAAAATGTGGCTTAAAGAGTGTTCTGCTATCCTCTGATTTATTGTAATTACATATGTATATATGCCAAATCATGTCAGTGCATTGAGCCAATGTATATTAGTCTTGCTCAAGTCTGAGGAACATGACGTGCACAGAAGGGAAAAGCCAAATCAAGCACCCGAGATGACATATACAGTAATAAAAATAATAAATCGGACCTGTCAATTTGCACAAAATAGTAACATGAAAGCAAGCCATTTTTGTCTCTGTGGAGTATAACATATAGATAGACATATAGAATTTCGGTAAATCTGTCCACGCCCCAATCGTGGGTAATAATCCTGCATTTGGGTAACAGTTACCCATTTGCAGTGACAATTTTATTACAAAGATGTGGAATAAAGTGAAGTAAAAACACAAAGTTCTTTTAAACACTTTGAGTAAAAAAGGGCGTTATATACCCATACGCGCCGTAAACGTTGTGCCCAACCTGTTGAAACGCGCATGTGACGCTTTATAAACAATGTCACGTGCACGCATCTATACCTGGATCCGGTACTTGGGTATGTAATGCAGTTGTTTGGCCCACTTTGGGCAGACATATGGAATAAGCTTATACATCTTTCTTCATTATCATATAGACAGATGGAGCGGGGTCCGGAGCTGAGCGGTATATCACAAAATGAAAGTAGACATCACTTACGCGTTTAAAAATTTGATTTGTAGTATCCTATAGGATTAAAACAATTTGGTGACTTTGATTACCTTCGGAACCTTTCTGCTGTTACCTTCGATTTTATGAGGAATTGGACTGAACCTTACAGCTCAAGATATTGCAGAAAAAATCCCATATAGGATTTTAGCAGCTTTTTGGAAAGGTCAATGATGTGAAAAATCCTAAATGTCATGTTATGATGTTGTTATATATTCATATTCATCTGTTTGCGTCATAAAGCAGTTATACTCCGCAATATTGACTTTGAAAGATGGCGGGAAATTTTGAACTCATCAATATGATAGGTTCAGGAACCTATGGAGAAGCTTGGTTAGCAAGGCACCTGAAGAATGACAAGAAGTGCGTTGTTAAAGTTATCAAAATTCTCAAGTTGTCAGAAAAAGAGCTGGACCGATCATTGACTGAGGTATCGATTCTGGCCAGATGTAACCATCAGAATATCATCAGCTACCTTGATGCTTATGTCAAAGATGGCAACCTCAACATAGCAATGGAATATGCAGACGGAGGTACACATAAGCTATGTTTCTTTAAATGCCTACAGGATTAAATCATGTAACATGAAAAGAGAAATGCAACTTTGTACTTGAAACAAGCTAGGGTTAGTCACAGGCACCACTGTAACATTGAGAGGAAAAATTATACAATAACCAGCAGACTGGGATTCAAACCAGTCCTCCATCTTAACGAGCGCTCAAATCAATTAAGCTACCTGGTCTCTATAGTGATCGATCAAGTCCAGTTCTGCTGCATTCCTCACACCTTTTTGTAAGTCTTTGCGTCTGAAGACAATTAAGACTATTTAACAACATATATGTTATACGTACATAACACACATGTATGCATGTACAGTTGTAATAAATAAATTCTTAAATAACTCATTTCAAGTCAATTTATACATAATATATGTAGTAAACTGACTTTGCAGACATTTATTTTTAAGATATTTCTTGTATTTCAGGTGATCTACACAAAAATATAGTTGGTCAAAAAGGCATTCATTTCGGAAAAGAGGTATGACACAATCACAACAAGAGGCCCACACTTATATTTTAACCTGAATATCTAAACAATCATGACATATTAATATTGTCAATGATAGTATAGTATTACAAATATTTCCCCAGTTTGGGACCTTTCTGTACATAGTAATGGGGACAACACTCTCTTCCTTGATACATTACCAGGTGAATAATACAGGCCCTTTTAAACCTCTTGTTCCTAACATGTAGGTTCATGTAGGTATGTAATTTCCAAGATACCCAAGCTTAAATTTGTAAGGGTGAATGAGTTTAATCATAAAAATCCTGTCTGTTACAAAAACTTTGTAGATTTTTTTTTTTTTTTTTTTTATTAAACATTATTAACAGCTGACATCACATATACATTGTAAAACACAACAATCGTATAATCTAACCTTCTGAGTAATCATTGTCTGTGATTCATCTGCCTCAGTACTAACTGTTAATCAATTTTCAGCATCTTTATATTGTTGCTTTCAGGTAATTTTTGAATGGTTTGTGCAAATCTGTCTTGCACTGAAGTACATCCATTCCAGTAACATTCTTCACAGAGGTGAGTATACCTAAGGTTTTGACAATTATGTAGACACTAGTGCTGTACGTGTCACGTTTGTGATGATGCCATATATATCACGATACATGGGTCATGATACTAGATACTTGTTACAACTTTTTAGGTCACCTGAGACAAAGTCTCAAGTGACCTATTGCGATCGCCTTTTGTCCGGCGGAATCCGTCGTGCGTCCGTAAACAATTTACATTTTCGACTTCTTCTCCAAAACCCCTAAGCCAATTTCACTGAAATTTTGCAGAAACCTTCCATGGCCAAAGGTCAACTAAAATTGTGAATTATATGGTCCCCAGCCCCCAGGGGCCTGAGGGGCAGAGCCAAAAAGGGTCAAATTGACTAAAATTTCAAAAATCTTCTCAAGATCGAGATATGGTAGAATCAAATACTCTTCATAGATAGAAGGGTCTTAAGGTGCTTTACTAAAATTGTGAATTTCTTGACCCTGGGGGTCTCACGTTTCCCCCTGGGGAGGGGTTAACTTTACTATAGTTTATATAGGGAAATCACATTTTGGACCAACATTTGTTTAATTTCCATTAGAAGTAATTCAATTTGGGTTAGCATTATCTGTATTGGATAGCAGTTTGATGGTATGTACATATCAGCCCTGACTGACCCCCCGGGGCTGATGGGCGGGGCCAAAAAGTGTTGAATTGACTGAAATTTCAAAATTCTTCTTCTCAAGACCCAGATATGGTAGAATCAAATACTTTTCATAGATGGAAGGGTCTTAAGGTGCTTAACCAAATTTGTGAATTTCATGACCCTGGGGTCTCACGTTTCCCCCTTGGGAGGGGGTAAACTTTATAGTTTACATAGGGAAATCACATTTTAGACTAACATTTGTTTAATTGCCATTGGAAGTAATTCAATTTGGGTTAGAATTATCAGTATTGGATAGCAGTTTGATGGTATGCACATGATATCAGCCCTGACTGACCCCCCGGGGCTGATGGGTGGGGTCAAAAAGTGTTAAATTGACTGAAATTTCAAAAATCTTCTTCTGAAGACCCAGATATATGGTAGAATCAAATACTCTTCATAGATGGAAGGGTCTTAAGGTGCTTTACCAAAATTGTGAATTTCATGACCCTGGGGTCTGGCGTTAACCCCTGGGGAAGGAGGGGAGGGGGCAAAATTTGTTATGGTTTATAATGGCAAATGATACTTTGAATATTACATGTTGATAACTTGATTGGAATTATAACCCTAAGTTGACAGTTTGATACTTTGTAAATTTTGAGCCATCCCTACCCCCAATGGCTGTAGGGTGGGGCCCAATGGAGTCTGTGTGCTAAAATAAAATTTCTTCATTTTCCTTGTTTAGAATCAGAGGTGCTAGTTTCAAATACTTTTCAGTCTTAAATCTGCATGCTAGATATTGAATAAGGTGATTTTATTGTTTTTTGTCACTTTGAATAATTTTTCTGTTCATGTAAAAAACAAAAATCAACTCTCTGTATAAATATATCAGGTGACCGTTCAGGCCCATGGGCCTCTTGTCAAAGTATCACAATACTATCGGTGAATGCCACAATACATCGCCACTCAAGATATGATACGATTCACCGATGCATTGGTAAATTGTTACACCTCGCGCTCTAATCAACACAAACTTGTGAAATTTGCCTATTTTGGATGGCGACTACTGGTTTTTAGGTCACCTGAGACAAAGTCTCAAGTGACCTATTGCGATCGCCTTTTGTCCGTCGTTGTGCGTCCGTAAACAATTTACTTTTTCGACTTCTTCTCCAAAACCACTGAACCAATTTCAATGAAATTTTGCAGAAACCTTCCATGGACAAAGGTCAACAAAAATTGATGCCGGTTTAGTCCCAAGTCCCCAGGGGCCTGAGGGGCGGGGCCAAAAAGGGGCAAATTGACTAAAATTTCAAAAATCTTCTTCTCAAGACCCAAATATGGTAGAATAAAATACTCTTCATAGATAGAAGGGTCTTAAGGTGTTTTACCAAAATTGTGAATTTCTTGACCCTGGGGTCTCACGTTTTCCCCTGGGGAGGGGGTAAACTTTACTATAGTTTATGTAGGGAAATCACATTTTGGACTAACATTTGTTTAATTTCCATTGGAAGTAATTCAATTTGGGTTAGCATTATCAGTAGTAGGTAGCAGTTTGTTAGTATGCACATGTGAGCCCTGACTGACCCCCAGGGGCTGATGGGTGGGGCAAAAAAGGGTTGAATTGACTGAAATTTCAAAAATCTTGTCTGGTGACGGGGTAAACCTTACTATAGTTTATATAGGGAAATCACAGTTTGGACCAAAATTTAATATGGTATATAATGGCAAATGATACTTTCAATATTACATGTTAATTACTTGATTGGAATTATAACTTTTGAGCCAGCCCTACCCCCAAGTGCTGTAGGGTGGGGCCCAAAGGAGTCATGTGCTAAATTTTCTTCATTTTCCTTCTTTAGAATCAGAGGTGCTCAGTTTCAAATACTTTTTAGTCTTAAATCTGTATGCTAGATATTGAATAAGGTGGTTTTATTGTTTTTTGTCACTGAATAATATTTCTGTTTGTGTTAAAAACAAAATCAACTCTCTGTATAAATATATCAGGTGACCGTTAAGGCCCATGGGCCTCTTGTTTTCTGACCTTATCTTTAGCTCACTTAATTGGTTTGAAAAAGTGGTGAGCTTGTTTTCCCATCCATCTGTAGTCCATCTAACTTGCCTTAGCTGACTGATCCCTTTATCAAGGACTCCTTACTCCAACCAATTTTGCTATGATACAACATTTTGGGAACATGGAATAAAAACATTGCACATAGGAAGGATGTGGTTCGATACTCAGAAAGCTAATTCGAGGCAAGGACCCTATGGGGGAAATTGCTGGATTTCAGGTTTCAAAAGACATTACTTCTGTTTGATCAATAAAATGGAGAAGCTAAAATGCTCACATTTTGAAATTAATTAAACGTACACCCATTTTTGTATGCAGTAAGTAGGATGACAAGTTCTGACGTCATGCTAATTAACCTACACAATGAAAAATTAACATTCATACAACAGTTTCATTCAAGTATGTTCTTGAAATCCATCTGCTTCACATAAAAAACATAGCAGGTAATTATAAGCTATTAAGGCCCCTGGATTCAAATTGTAAAAATATATCAGATGTTGTATAAATGGAAGATGTAACCCAAGATGATGGGCCTAAAATAGTACCAAACATGGCAATTTGTTCCACAAGAGCCCTCCTTAACACTGTGGGGAAACGCTCACTTACATTCTCTGCACCCCTGGAATACATCATGATGACACAGGTTTTTTGCCAGGTGTTTACAGGGTCCAGTACAGGAACCCATTACCGGCATTACCAACTGAAAAATGACCCTGTATTTTCCCAATGTCAGTCTTAATTTTCCAAATAGGATTAAATAGCATGTTTATACAAGTTTCTATTCGTTATATTTACAACGCTCAAAGTATAACCGTCTGAAGGACCATTCAAAATACATAAATATCGAAAAAATAGAAATAGAGTTAACAAAAACACTGAAAATTGATGTGTTTATTTATTGCTATACATTTTACTATGAGAAATATCTTGAGGAAAACTTCATACAGATCACATTGTAGGTTTTATTTTTTCCAAACTTATGATATTTTCCAAACCTGTACATGTGGGAACAAAGTAGTTGGCAAAATCCCAGGCTTAGTGTACAGCCTTATGGATAAGACTAGTTTGATCTTTGATGTACATCAGAAGAATCTTGCAGTATATATATATGTATATATAGCATAACAGTAAAATTGACGGTCTTTGAAGTCAGATCTCATTCCTCTGTAATCTTCAAAGGACAGGTATTGGCAAAGCTTACCTGCAGAGACCAATCAAATAACTAGCCCTGTGCCTTCAATTTTACTATGATATATTAATTAATAGTTATTAATGATAATTTGAGGTTCTTATATACCACTTTATCACAACCTAGTTTGTAGGTCATCTCAAAGCGGTTCACAACTTATGTACTCATTAACAGCTGAGTAGGCTGGAAGAGAGGGAAAGTAAGCGTAACCCCTGGATTATAGCAGATGGTCAAGAGCTTGCATTACCTGGACGTGTTCATATCATAGTATGCACAATATAGAGTCCTATGCTTAAGTATGCCTACACCTAACTTAACAATAGACCACCTATACATAACTGTTATGAAAGTATAAGATATAAATTTCATGATTTTTTTTTTATCAGATCTGAAGTCCCAGAACATCTTCCTGAACAGCAAGCGTGTCATTAAGCTGGGAGATTTTGGGATTGCGAGGATATTACGAGACCATGCTGACCATGCCATGACAACTATAGGCACACCATTCTATCTCAGTCCGGAAATATGTCAGCGCAAACCGTATCCTCTGATATTGTAGCCTTTTAGTAATGTAGTTAGATTAGTTTTCTTAAAACATGGTTATACTGCCAGCGTTTGGCTGGAGACATTCAGGTGTTAGAGATGGGTTTGGTGATAAGCTGAAGGGAACTAACAAGGTAGGAGAACAAATGTTGTGTAAAATGGACCTTAAAATATATGGGTGAATCCCATTACTACATATGGAGGATTGTTCCATATCATGTCAATTTTGATTTTTTTTATCACCTCTTCATAAATGTGTTTCAGAAAATGTTGGTATACATGTATACAAATTTATTACAATGTCATGCTTTTAGAAAACTTTGGCTTTGACCTTCAGAGGCAAATAGCTACACCTAGCTGATACATAAAAAGAAATTTCGAAAATATTGTGATGTTTTATTTTTTAGCTCATCTGGTCCAAAGGACCAAGGTGAGCTTATACCAAACTGTGACGTACGGCGTCCGGCGTCCGGCGTCCAGCGTCCATCCGTCATCCGTCCGTGCATCAATAATTTCTTTAAACGACTTCTTCTTCTTAACCACTGATTGGAATTCAACTAAATTTGACTGGAAGCATCCCTAGGTAGTGGAGATTCACAATTGTATAAATGGGGGGGCTGAGGGGCGGGGCCAAAATGGTGCAATTTGGCTATATTGCTACATGTACAAACGACTCCTTCTGTAGAACTATGCACTGGATATATCGATCATATTTGATCAAAAGCATTCATGGGAGACAGGGATTCAAAATTGTACAAATGGTGTGGCTGACCCCCAGGGGGCTGAGGGGCGGGGCCAAAAGGGTTATTTGGCTATATTGCTTTAAGCATCTTCTTCTCTGGAACCAAGTGATTGATATCAACCATATTTGAATTGAAGCATCCCTAGGTGGTGGGGATTCAAAATTGTACAAATAATGGGGCTGACCCCCCCCCCCAGGGGTCTGACGGGTGGGGTCAAAAGGGGGCAATTTGGCTATATTGCTCCAAAATTGACTTCTTCTGTAGAACTATGCACTGGATATCAATCATATTTGATCAAAAGCATTCATGGGAGGCAGGGATTCAAAATTGTACAAATGGTGGGGCTGACCCCCCAGAGGGATGAGGGGCCGGGCCAAAAAGAGTATTTGGCTATATTGCTTTAAGCAACTTCTTCTCTGGAACTAAGTGATGGATATCAACCATTTTTGACCGGAAGCATCCCTAGGTGAAGGTGATTCAAAATTGTACAAATGGGGTTTGTGGTCTGAGGGGGGGTGCAAAAAAGGGCACTTTGGCTAAATTGATATAAACAACTTCTTCTGTAGAACTATGCCATGGATATAGATCATATTTGGTTCGGAAGCATTCATGGGAGGCAGGGTTTCAAAATTTTACAAATGTTGGGGCTGACCCCCCGGGCTTGGTAGGGGGTGGGGCCGAAGAAAGTTCATTACTTGGAAATAGTTGAGATTCCCACCATGTAAACATATATACAATTGCTGAGTATAAAGAGAAGAATGCACATTTGCTTCTATGATGGCCCTAGGGTCTGGCCCCACCCTTGGAGACATAGTCCCTGAGTCATAACTTTGAAACGGTTGAGATCCCCACCCCAAAACTAAATATACAAATACTTGGTATAAAGAGACGAATGTAGTCATGATTTTATAATAGACCCTGGGGTCTGACCGAACACCTAGGGACCTAGTTTTATTAGTCACAGCTTGGAAACAGTTGAGATACCCACCCTATAACCATATATACAATTGCTGAGTATAAAGAGATGAATGCACATATGCTTCCTTGAGGTCTGCCCCACCCTTGCAGACGTAACCCTTGGGTTATAACTTTGAAATGGTTGAGATCCCCACCCCAAAACTATAAATATAAATGCTGGGCAAAAAGAGACAAATCCAGTCATAATATAAGAACTGATCCTGGGGTCTGGCCATAACACTAGGGACCTAGTTTCTGAGTTACAGCTTGGAAACAGTTGAGATCCCCACCCCATAACCACACATTAAATTGCTGGGCATGAAAAATCTAATACAGATATGCTACAAGGATTGGCCTTGGGGTCTGGCATATTCCCTTGGATCTCATTTGGAGAATGTTTTGCCATGATTGCTTAGATATCCAGGTGAGCTATACAACTAGACCCTCTGGGCTTCTTGTTTATTGTGATACAATACAATATGCTTGTGTACCGCGATTTACCAGTTCTCCAATATATTGTGGTAATCCTTGTGCACATAGTACAAAGTGCTTAACATTTTGTATTTGATCTAAGCTAATACTTGTTAAATGGTAAAAGATTTTGACCTTTAAGTATTCGACCTCTGGAATTGAACTCAAGGTAATGCTACAGTATATGGTTGACCTTGACTTTTGACCAGATATAACCACAAGAGTGATCTGTGGGCTGCTGGTTGCGTTCTGTATGAGCTATGCTGTCTACGTGTCCCTTTCAATGCTCAAAATTTTGACTCCCTTGTAATGAAAATCTTACAGGGAAAGTGTGACCCAATTCCAAGGTAAGATTTATGCTTTCATTTGGTCATGTTGTGTACAATCCCTATCAATACATGTCACATTGGTCGACCACCTAGTGAGTTGTTACCCTGTACAGTCAAAACTGCTCATGGGACAACCTGTGTTAAGAGACCACCTGTGTAAAGAGACCACCTGTGTTAAGAGATTGCCCGTTATAGTAATTTTGATGAACTGAACCTGTATGAAGGGAGCACCTGTGATTTAGGAGACCACATTAAGTTATCCCCCTTGTAGTGATTTCATTGTGAACCTGTATGAAGGGACCACCTGTGATTTAAGAGACCACATTAAGTTATCCCCCT